GCTATAACAGGTTTAATTTGCCACTCTGGTTCTTCTTCAGGCTCATTTTCTTGTATCTCTGCTATAATATCTTCGACTATAGGCATTTTACCTGTTGTATAATTTTTCTCAATTTCAATAAATTCATGTGTAGAAATATTTAAGTATTCAGGGTTTTCAGGATTTTTTGAATTTTGAAATCATGTAATGAGATTTTCTAACTCCATTTCTTCTTTATTAGTTAAATCAACAAGAGATTCTAAATCCATAAATTCATTAATTTCTGTAGAAGAAAGAATATCTGTTTTTTGCCAAGAATGAATAATTACATCTTCAGAAACTTTATTCCATGCTTGTGAAACAAATTGAATTGTATCATAAATCGTAACAGGATCTGGAGGTTGATTAGTAAGGTTCGATTCATCAAATGTGACAATTCGTTTTTGTAGTAATAACTTACGATATTGATACTATAAGTGCCTCATTTACAGATTTGTATAGTGTTACTGTAATTATATGAGAATATTAATAACATAAGAAATATATACTAACCTTAAATGAATAGATTATGCCTGCATCACATGATTGTAACCTTGCAGTAATAAGTTTTGGAAAAAAAACAACTTTAATATTACTCAGGTTTAAACCTGTAATAGAGTGTGCAGAACAATTATCTAAAAGTAAAAGAATTTTTTGACAGGCACAACACATACGACGATCTAGATTAGATATCCAGTTTTGAAAAATTGAAATTTGCATCCATACTTTTTTGTTACAATAGTATTGAACAGGTAAGGATAATTTTTTTATTCCTCTTATTGAGTGTGAATTTTCAAATTTATGAATAAAAAGTGGTGGTAATTTATCACCAACTGCATTATATATTAACATTATAGTAACACGATTCTTTGGCTTTTTAACTCCTGAAATACGACCATGTGTAAGTGATTTTGAAGGTTCTAAAAGCCAATAAAGTGCTATTTCATCACAATTATAAATATCTACTAAATCATAATTTGATGTTTCATTTTGTAAAGATAGACAAAATTCAGGTAATTTTTCAATAGGGGCACTAGCAGCTTCTCCACAATGTGTAGTACAAACAATATGATATCGTTTTTTGAAACCTTGCAATCAACCATCAGACGCAGCAAAATTTTGAATTTTTAAAGTCGCTGCGACCTGTTTGGCCTTTTCTTGTAAAACTAACCCTGTAATTGTTAAATGGTTTTCTAGTGCAAGGTCAAACCATCATGCAAGAATTTCTTCTAATTGTGGATGGTCTGGTGGTCGATTTCGCTTTTGTTGTACCATGGTACTTTCTTCATCTAGACCAAGCCAATATAATGATTGTGCAAGAATATCAGCTACGGTTTTTCGACCGATTTCAAATTTATCTGCCAATTCTTGTTGAGTAAAGTTTGGATTATCTCGTACTATAAATCCATATATATTTAATTCTCTATACAATATGTGACACTTTTTGGCTGCAAACGTTAACTTCGCCTCTTTAAATTTACGTGCTAATTTCACAAACATATTGATGTGATATTCGATCGTACCATCCATCCACAATCTTACATCATTTTGGTAAGCGGCTGCAATTTTCTTCTATTCGTCACCTTTCAGAACAATGTCCATCAATCATTGAAACATTTCACTGATATTTTTCAACCCAATACACATGACGGTGTACCTTAAAAGTCCAATTGGGCTTGCAACGGCAACCTTATCCCTATCCTCTATATGGATCTAGATTTGCCAGTATCCTTTATATACGTCGACTGAAGAATACTAGTCATGTCCTACAGCATTTTCAAGAATCTCTCTAATTATAGGTAATGGATAACCATCTTTTACTATGTACTTATTCAACGGTCTCATGTCCCCAACAACTCTGAATTTATCGGTTTCTCTCTCTTTCTTGTTTACCAGAAAACAATAGTAGGCATACTACCCTTTTCCTTTTTCCAACAGTTCTAATTCAACCATTTCGTGAAGTTGCTCTTCGAACATCAAGGCTCGTTCAGGGTTGTTGATTCGAATTGGTCTTACCCGAGTTTCCGGCGCCTCTTTTTCACCAGTTCATACTTCGTACTCAATCAAATCGGTCTTGCCAATCTCTGAAAGTTCAAAAGCAAAAGTCTCTGGGGCCTCCTTAGTCAATTGGTCAAGTAGGTATTCTTTATATTCTCTTGGTATTTCTTTATTAATGTTCAATACTTTACTATTTTCTTTCATAAGCCGCATCACTAATTCAGGGCCCCTAGGTGTATGATTCCATCTCCATATTCTTGACCGTCATTCCAGTACAATACCCTTCCATTATGCCTGACTTTATCAAATAGATTGTCGTCGATTGGCTTAATTTTTTTAGCCAATAGATGACTTGCATTCCTCGCCTTTCTTAGTACGTTCGTATTTAAACCTTCTATCCTTCTTATGTCACACCTATCCACAGAGACTCTTCGTACTGA